TTTCTGCCTCATTTCAGTTGGGAATTGTGCTATATATTCGATGCAAAGCATTTGTACGCTCCTGTGAGTGTTTTCTCTGTGTCCAGTTAGTGTGAATACCGTCTATTGTTTAAATAGGACAGCGCTTTAGAATGACCCGCTGTGTGAAAGATGCCCCTGCCTCAAAGACTGTCCCGAGCGCTAGTGCCCTATTTCTAGACTTTGTAAAAAAGCCTATTAAATGACACTTTCCTGTGGAGGAGCTTTGCAGTGCAAAAGATTAAGTCTCCTCAAATATTCACCCAAGGTAATTGCAATTTTATTTTTTATTTTTACCATCTTTTTATGTTATAATTCCATTTGTAAGCATCGCTGTTTCACTGCAAAGTCCGAATCTTGGGCAGGACTATCCTCTGCCTGAGGATCTTAATCTTGCTCCTTGAATCTTAATGAAGGGTCTTGAAGTGCTAAGGCATCCTGAGAAAATGGACTTGTTAAACAGGCTCATTCGAGTTAGAGCTGGTTTGTTCTATAATGTTAAGTAACCTGACCAACTGCCTCAATGTGTATTATAGCCAGAAATACCTGAATAGTTTTCAAAAAAGGCTGTAAAGTTGTACCTTTGCAGCTTCACTCTTTCTTGGCTTGCAAAAAAGTTAAAAATAAATCTTCACACCTTTACACAGTTATAGAGTGAGGACTCACTTTTGCAGTCCAATGGATGTCTAGAGAGACGCGTCACACCTGTGACAGTGCAAAAACCAACACGGCATAGTCATAATAACGGGTGGTACAGTGAATTGTGTTGATCGTTAAGTGCCTGTTTCCAAACATATTTATCTTGTATTTAAGATTTTTGATCTATGCAGAAATGCAACAAATAATTATTTTAATGTCTTGTTTTGTCCAACCAACAGTTAAAAACCCCAAAATAATCAGTTGTAAAATATCTGACATATCAGAGCATATCTAGATGGGACCCACAATCTCTGGTTTATGAGGCCAGTGCCTATTCGATTAGGCCATGGGGCTGTTGCAGCTGCTGTGGAGCCAATGTGCACAAGACAGCATTCAATTGTAGTAACACTGACAATGTAATCCCTTTTAAATTTCTTTTTAATGGACATGGATGGCAGCCTTTGTGTGAAGTAAAGTCAGGGAATCATGAAAGAGTTCAGTCTCTGCCTGATGTTGTCCATTGTCGCCTACACCACAGACAAATTTTTCGGTCTACAAAATGTCAGAAAGTGAATCTTGTCCATTACAGCTTGACATGACATCTTTAAATGTAACTATCGCTGAAGAAAAACATCAAATGTGCAAATATTTGAGAAGCTAGAACCAGTGAATATTGGGCATTTTTGATTAAAAAGAGATTAAAATGGTTGCAGATGTATCTTCTGTACCTTGACTTATCGATTAATCAACTAATATCTTCAGCTCTAGTTTGATTTTCCTTCCCTGAAGATGGAAAACACCATGAGCTGGGAATGGTTTGCATGCAGCCTAACAGTGCCCTTCCTTTGCTGCTATCTCTCCTTGTAAATAACAAAGGTCCTGATGTGGCCCAGAAAGATTGCGTCTGTTACATAATAATCTGTAGCTCATTGTGTCCTTGTCCTTGTGTGCATTAGCGACTGTATGTATCATTTCTGTGTCTCACACCTATCTACTGTATATTATGCGGTAATTGCCAAATATTGTTTTTTTTTTTATATTTGTTTCCTAATATTCACCCAATAGAAGCCATAATGTCAGTACAGTAATTGCAACTGTCACAGTTACCACAGCTGCTTTAATACTGCTAGTTTTTCAGTTTCTCCCACCCAGAAAAAGGGGTTAGACCCTGTAGCTGCTATGTCTTCAAAAGTTGAGTTTGGTCAAAGTAAAAATTGCCCAGATGTTGAAGGCAGTCCTCATCTTTTCCTGTTGAGTCTTCATAATTTTAACATAGAGAGAGAAACAGAAAGGGTGTGACTCTATTGTCTTCTTGCCCCACCCAGACCCCAAGGACCTACTGTGCAGCCAACACGGAGGATCTAGAGACTGTTATTGAGCACATCCAGAGGACTAATGAAGCTGCTCCAATCATGGCTGCTGGAGTATCAATGGGCGGGTAATGAAGCCACTCACTACCAGCTGACTGGACATTTCAGTACTGGCGACACTGCTAACAAATCTCAGAATGTGACTTAAGCCGAACAAGACAACTTGACACATTTGTTGGCGACTCAGCGATAACTGAACTTGCAACTAAAAAAAAATTAACCCAGAAATCACCTGACATAACATAATCCCACATTAGTAAACTACACAGAACTCACAATACTAATTCAGCTGGTTGGTGATTGGTTTATGCCAAATGTTACCAGAAGGACAAGACAGGCAAAAGATGTCATGCTAGTAAGTCAAACTTTCTTTCTGTGCAGCCGACAGTTTGTGTTTAGCTTTAAATATTCAGCTCTCACAGTTGTTATAGAGGGTTTATAGAAGCGAAGATACTTATTAGTATTAGAATTAAATATTAAAGAAAAAAGAAGACTCTCCGTCCCCCTCAGTATGTCTTGGTCACAATTCATCTAACATATCCATGTCTGGATTGTTCTGCATGTTTTGTGTTCACTAGAAATAATATTACTAAATGTCAATATATTGCTATCATATTTTTTTAACAATCTATCTGTATTGGCCTCAAAAATCCAGTATCAGTCAGATTACAGTCAGTGCTTTAATATGGTCCCAGTCACTCAGTGCAGCTTGCCAAAGAAGGTGTTTTTTTTTTTACTGCACAGCACTAATCCCGTGAAGTGAAGGATTGGTCAGAAATGGAACATGTTCCAATCTCTGTTTTTCCCCATCTGTCCCTTTCTCTCGCCCTCTTTCCATATTCAGGATGATGCTGGCCAACTACCTGGGGCGGAAGGGCCGGGAAACCTGTCTGAAAGGGGTCGTAGTCTTCTCAGCAGGCTGGGATGTATTTGAGTGCACCGCTTCACTGGAAAAACCCCTGGACCGTTTCCTCTTCAACTCCTACCTCACCAGCTGCCTACAAGCCTCTGTGCACAGGTCAGCCCGGGCCAGAGCGGGATTAACTCGGCCGCTAACTCTCTGTTAGTGCTACGGGCTAAATGTTTAGGGAACTTGAATAACTGGGTTTTATGTATTTTTTTTTTATATGTTGATCAAGGGTTTGCTTTTACAGTTCGAGGCAAAAAATACTTCACTCCTGCTGTTTTCTTTTTTCTTTGTTAGGTGATTAAAACACAAAAAAAGCCTGGTAACATTTAGAAATGATAATACCCCCAATATATTTCAATCTGTGTGTTAACATGGGCCTGATATAAATGCACAGTAATGCTTTTTTAGTACTACTTTGAAGGTTGAGCTTGACTCTTGTTACACATTTGTCAGCATTTTTGAGGGACATTTTCAGCTGCAAATCATTTCACCTAACAGTAGTCAATGACAGTTTTATTTTTAATCTCCCCCGCAGACACAGACCAGTGCTTGAAAAGTGTTACGACATCGATCATGTCATGAAGGTCGGGATTATTTTCAGTGACACTCAGCCATAAATGCTAATCTAATTAAATGAAGTAGGCAACACTTAATCAATGTACTCTGTCCCTACAGGCAAGGACCATTCGAGAGTTTGACGAGAGGTTCACCTCCATAATGTTTGGCTATTCTACCAATGATGACTACTACCATGATGCCAGTCCTGTCCACAGGCTGAAGTCTGTGCAGGTGCCAATGCTGTGTCTGAACGCTGCTGATGATGTATTTTCCCCGTCTCATGGTAAGTCCCAGTAACTTTAGATTTTCTGCGCAATCTGACTTCACCACCTAAAGACAGAGTATCTGGTCCACAGAGAAGAGAACAGGATCTGAATCCCCCTTGTTTTCTTTACAGCCATTCCAGTGGAGGCTGTGAAGCAGAATCCCAACCTGGCCCTGCTCATTACCTGTCACGGTGGCCATATTGGTTTCCTCGAGGGCCTGTGGCCTCGGCAGAGCACGTACATGGACCGAGTCTTCAAGCAGTTTGCTAAGGCGGTCATCGAACAAGGCAGCCGGCTCACGGACCTCTCCTGATAAGAAAACTCAAAAGTGTTCCTAAAGTTTTACTTCCTCTTATTCATTTATTCTTTCTTCCCTTCCTTCCTTTAATCTTTCATTTTTGCCATCCATTTTTCCTTTGTGCATTCCATACTTTATTCCTTCCATTTAAGATTCCATTCTTCCTTGTTTTTTCCTACCTTCTTGTTTTCCCCTCTTTCATCCTTGTCCCTTATTCCTCCTTACTGCATTCCATCCATCATATATCCCTTCCCTCTCTACATAATCCTATTGTGCCTATTTCCTTCCTTCCATTATCTTTATTTTCTATCTTTGCCCTCCATCCTTCCGTCCCATTCTTCCTCCTGCCACAAGCAAAAAAACATTCTTTCTCATTCGAAAGCCACATCTTATTGAATGCAGCTTATTGTGTTGCATTCAATGGTCATTTATTTATTCCATACAATTAACAAGTCATTGTATGTAATCATGCTCTCAATAGCAGGCTTATTAAAAAACAAGCGTAGCTGTTCATGTCACTATTGAAAAGCTGAATCTGTGCCCATCTTGTTTAATTGCATTAGCTAGCTGCGATTACCTTGTGCAATTATTCTCTTTTGAAGTTAACACAAGTACTGTACATGAAAATCATCTTTGTTCATGAAGCGTCCTTTCGTACTCATATTAGTAGGATTTTAGCCCTCAGGGATTGTCTTTATTTACTCATATGTCATTCCTTCTTGTGTAATTTTGTTTTGTAAATCATACTTCTGTTTGTGTTTTTCTCTTTTAAAGGTAGATGTTATTTACTAGTTGACATACAGTTGTTTGTTTTCTTTAAAGTAATAGTTTGATATTATGGAAAATATGCTTATTTGCTTTCTTGTGGGGTTACATGAGAAGATTGATACCACTCATGTTCAATTAATTTTTCAGCTTCAGCCAGTAGCCGACTAGCTTAGTTTAGCATACAGACTGGAAACGGTGGGAAACAGCTACCCTGGCTCTCCATAGTTGAAAAAAACCCTGCCAGCCACTGCTCGTAAGTGGATTCTGTTATCTTTAGACAGAACCAAACTAGCTGTTTCCCCACTGCCTCCAGCCCTGATGCTAAGCTAAGCTAATTGGCATATGTCACCTACAGACATGAGAGTAGTATCAATCTTCTCATCTAACTCTTGGCAAGAAGGCAAATGGCATTTTTTCCATAAAACTACCCCTTCCCTTAACCTTCTGCATGCACTTTTAATTTCACACATTCTACCTTTACGCACACCAAATAGTTTTACAAATGTATTATAAGGAGAATAATTAATTAATGACAAGGAATGTGAAATTGCACTATTTTAGTTGATACTATCATGCCTCTTATTCCTTAATGCAAGGCACTTCATTTCATTCGATATATGACAGTATATCCCAAAGGCTGAACAGAGCAGTATATGAATTCCATGAGGTTTTCTTCTTGTGAAAATGTTGGTGGTTATTATTGGAAGTAAGTCTGAGGGTACTAGATACAGTAATGTGAATGAAGTAATGCACATAGGAAGACGGAGAGTGTACATATTGGCTGTTTGAAATGGTGGATGTTGCTTTCCAAGATGCATAGTATCACTGGTGGAACCTGGTTGTCAGTCGTTTTATTGCTTTTGTTTCGCCAACAATGATCAAGGGGCTGGCCACCGTGTATGAGTTGGCATCCATGAAACAGGCAGATCTGACTGGCAGCCGGACTTTCAGTAATGCACTGCATGAGGGATTATGACTTCCTGTTCCTGTGGAATTTTGGTGTCTGTTTGTTCTGCCAATTGTCCATTGAGTAGCATGTGTGTCATCAGCATCATCATGTCCTGAACTTTAACATCACTTCGTAATCTGTAGCACAAAGGACATGTTTGTTTGTTTTTCATAGGATGCTGCATTTCATTTTGTACACTACATATATATAAAAACATTCTGTTTGACATGTGCAGCAATACGATTTTAAATTTAAAATATGTCTATAGTATAAGTACCAGTATATGCACATTATCAACACGAGTGTAATATGCTGTATTTAATAAATGATTAAACAGAGTCTAGGTCAATTTGTGTGCTGTCTCTAGTGCTTCTGCTTGTAATGCATTTTCTCAACAGAGTACATTGGATTGCTCGACTGACCATGTACTGCAGATTAGAATGATTGACTGCAATTGCCTTTTGTCAGCAATTCTCTGTCTTTCTTTCTTCCTTTGCCTAAACAATGGGGTTTTACACCTGTGACTGAATACTGATAATACCCGGACTGCTGGGTCAGAAGCTCATCAGTCACGTGAGGTGTCAAGCTCACAGGACTTCACCATTGGTCAAAGACTTGTGCCCTGAAGTCAAGACATTTTACAGTCTTACCACTGGAGCTGGCTTACTGCCTGACCAGTGTGTCACCGGAGGCTCATGCTCCCTCTCCTCTCACATCACAGTGTTGGGTTTTGGTCCCTGGAATTGACTTACTCCACACTCACGGGCTTAGCTGTTGATAGGATAAGCATTGCTGCAGTAGTGGATGTGATCCACCAAAGGCACACTGTAATCCCCCAGCACTGCACTTACCTTCACCCCAACCCCCCAATAAGCGCACAGACAGATGAGCTTTGGTTTTAGCTAGATGATTTATGGAAGCCTGAGAGTAATTAGAGTAGACTGCCAAGAGGGATGAGTAATTTACTGCTGCTTACCATCTACGAAAATTGATATTATGTTGCAGGAATCCCTCTATTATAAATGTTGATATCTCTGCTAATGTGAGAATGTACTCTGAATCATTTTTGAGTTACAAATCAATAAACCTTGATGTTAAAGTGGATTAAAGGATATTTCACAGTGGTATGGTGCAGTGATACTTTTAATCATGTCACTGTTTGAAAGTAGTTTCATATTAACTACTGCATTGCCTGAGGGCTCAAGTGAAAGGAAAATGGAAGAGGGAGTTATCAGAAGACATTTTCTCTCTTTCCTTCAAAGGATTTTTTGAAATAGCTAAAAGAACAAATCAAACAATGAAACTGTGCCGCGTGTAAAATAACAATCGAGAGAAGTCAAAGAAAGCCAATGTTTGCATAATTGTGTAGTTGTAGTCATAAAACTGTCACTTACCCCTTTGCCCTCATTTTTAAGCACTGGGAGTTTCCAGTTTGTCATAAATGACAATTTGTGCACAACATCTTTCGGCTTGTCTCAAAAGAGCAATTATGAGGTGCAAGAATCATGTCAGCCACTTTTTGCCCTATCTCCCTTTTCCTACCTTGCTGCAGCTAGCTGAAAATAGCCTTGTGTTATATCACACAGGGGTTGTAGGTTGATGGAAAATGTGGTCTAATATTACCTTGCAAGAGCTGAAATAGTACTGTCCCTGGACCAACAATGCCCCTGTGCCCTTACAGTGAAGCCAGAGAAGATCTTACAGCAGCCTCTTCACAGCCATTTCTGCTCTTCATAGAGAGAGGGTCAGTGTGCATTTTCAAAGCATGGCTTTGGAGGTGTTGAGGGGAGACAAGTATCAGAAAAGGAGGTGACTGGAAAATGAGCAAGACCCTGGGATTTACTTTTCAGCAGAATAAAAAGATCTGGGATTGAATGGATGCAGAGGAGAGTGAGAGGATTATTAATCACAGGCTAAAGACAGAGCTGCACATGCATTTTAACAACACTGCTTAAGCTGTGTATTAATGCACTCACATCACACTTTGACATACCCAGCAGCTGCATGGGAAGCACACCAAAAAAACACAGAAATCAGCAAAGCAAATGGAAATCAGAGGGGCACTCCACCAATTTCACACACAGTTCATAGTTTACTAAACACGAGGGGTATCACTTAGTTAGTTACAGAATAACTAGAAATTAGAATGGATATGTCTGACAACTATTTATCCTATATGATGTACTGTGTTTGTGCTACTGTGACATGATTTTAGATTTCCAAATGAAAAACATATACAATGTAAACATTAAAAACAAACAAAAATGCAAATGATTTTAGAAGACAATTTATTACATTCATATATTTTCAACAACAATAGCATGGCTCTAATGTCATATGTTCACAGCCCCCAATCACAATGGTAAACATGAGGTAGATCACGCAGACACCAAGGCTACCACTGGGCACATGGTCATCAAACACATTTCAGTGAAGATTGTGAGAGCAAGTTGCATATTAAGTGTTAAATTATTAATAAGAAAGATACATTCTATGGACCATTGGAGTTTAAGTTATCACCAGTCTTACATTTGGACTGATTTTTGGGTTCATTTAATAGTGGGAAATATATTTTTCTGCTGGCAACTTGTAGTGCAAGTTCACATTCCCTACCCCCAATGACATTCAGTAGATCTAAGAATCATTCGTTTGGGTCTTCTGCAAAGCCTTCGTGGATGGTTTTGAAGAGGACACACTCCCTCGGTTTAATCGAGCTCAGCATGCAATCAAATATTACACTTCAATATGATTATCAGTCCAAAATGCTTGTCAAATAAATAAGAATCCCTCATGGACCTGATTTTCATTTTCAATAAAAATCCAACACAAGAACAGGAAGGAATACAGACATATGGTTATAAGGACACATCTAGGTAGATTCTTCTTGCCTTTGCAACATAAAATGCAGAAAGACATCATGACCAAAATATACTGGCAAAAGTTACACAAGACTAAAAAACCATCAGTAACCCTCAGTGGTTAAGGGGATGATATAATATATTAATAATGTAAACAAAGCTTTAAACAGTACAGTAGTCCGAAATCCAATTTTTTCATTTTGCTTCACTCAGAGAAACAACATTTTTTCGCCTCACAGTTAAATGGTTTCTTCATTCTCATTGGTCAAAAGAAAATTGTGACTTGAGCAGTGACTGTATGAAATGTCACTTAAGGCATATTCTTTGGACAACCCTGTGCAGAAACATATAAAAACATTCCACTTTCAAGTATATGGAATGATCTGGTCAACCGCTTTTGAATGTATAAAGCTTCCTTGATTACCCTTTGGTTTGGCAGCAAAATATGGCAGATTATGAGTTTATGTGTGGGTGGTAGTCAAGACAGTCAGTAGCAGAATATTTGGCAGTGATTTCTATATAGCATTTACTGACGTGATGTGGTTATGCTTAAAATACCCAATATTTAAGCCAGTGGATGCCTAAATACAAAACATATGTCATTTAGAGCAAACCAGTAAACAAGTCTTATTTCCATGTTGCTCCATGTGATTAGCATCACACATGAACAGATGAGTAAATCCCTGTGGCAAGTCAGATAAATCTGTTTTGGACAACAGCCCTGCTTCATAGTTCTATATTCAAGCACATTAACGTACTACATTCTTGAAAAGTTGTACTTTTCTTTAGTTGTGATTAAAGTCTTTGGATACATTTGTGTGTAAATCATCTGGAAACTAAAACCACACACAGACGGATTATCGATGCCACATAAATATTTTTAGGAGGCACAAGAGGAAAGGGGGTCACTATTTGCAGATTAAATTTACCAGCTCAAATAGTGGCTTATTATTTGAAACCCATAGCAGAGTTATGCATGATAATATAAATCCAATGCGGGCCAACCTCTAAGTTTATTTTTTTAATGTAATGAGCTGACTTCTTATAGCTTTGCCGAGTTTGAGAGGCAGAGCAAGTAAGACGTCTTTGGTGCCAACATAGGTTAATGCCAAAAATGAAGTTGGAGAAAAGCTTTACCCCTTTGAACAACCTCCTTTGGATCTCCCTTTAAAACCCTGAGATAAACACGCATGTCCAGAATAGGACATACAGTCCAAGTCCATGTACACATACAATCTTCAAATAGTCACATCATTGATCGGCGAGCGTCCATTTTTGCGAAATACAACAACAAAACAAATAAAGTTCAGTTTCAGCTGTGCTTTCTTTTCACAGCAAAGTCTTTTTCAGTAGAACACAAGCTCAAGTGGAGACAAGCCCAGCTACAAGCAAGAGTTAAAACATACACTGTCCCGCTTCGGAGCCAGGCATAGTGCACTGTGGTAGTACAGTTGTAGGGGAAGCCAAATTAGGCAGCCACGTGTCCACTTGTGGGGCACTTTGGATCTTGTGTTCTAGCATATCCCCTCTGATCTTCCATTGGAATGGCAAGATTTGTGATTGCTGGCTGGTTTTGAATCAAATCTCCTCATTCCTGATTGTGTTTCTGCAGCACAGCAGTGGACCCAGGACATTTCAGGTTCAAACATGGCGGCCAGTCAGAAAGTAGAGGGGCCGGTCCTCGCTGCAGTTGGCTGTCTGAAACTCGTCCCGCAGGCGAAATTGCCACTCATCCTCCAGCTCCAGTCGGACGATGGTCTGACGCAGCGAACTTCGGTCCTGGCTGATCACACAGAGAGTGGCACCTGTGGACACAACCATGGTTTAAAAAAAAAAGTAAAAACTGGAGTACTAGCCTCAAAAAAGCTAGTACTGCTAGTGGCCCTTAGAGGCGAGCTGGCTAAGACTTTGAAAAAAAAGAAAGACAACAAAGTGAGTGCCCTAGAGCTATCTATGCTATCTATGCATACAGTTTCTACCATTCATTGTTCTTGACTTATCGGCTTAACAAAAATGTGTTAACACACACTAAAAGCTGTAGGGGTATATACACTGGATGTTCCAATGGCAACATACAGTACTGTCACATACCACACTCAGCCCTACCACTGTAAGATATCTCAAACTAGATGATATAACAACAGAGACAACAACAACAGAAGCAGTGGCAATAACCATGACTACAGTCATGAGTCACCTTTGAGGAAGCGGAATTTCTTGAGGAGTCCGGAGACAACGAAGGAGTCACAGAGGTAAAGCAGCAGGCCACTGAACAACAGACCCTGGTGGTTCAGGTTGGTGGAGTGTGGACGAGAGTTGATGTAGCACACGGAAATCTGTGACAATAGATACGAGAATATACACTTCATTAATCCCACTCAAGCAAACTAAAGGAAAAGTTCAAATGAATTAATTAATCATTATGAAACCTTAATAATCCCTGCAGGGAGCTATTGGGGCCGTCTTTACAAGCAAATGTAT